TTTGCAGATATAGGGCTGTACTCAGAGATGACCCAGTGAAATGAATGACCTCCAAGAAACTAAAATCATCTTGACGACACCTGAATGTGCTGCCCACCATAAAAACAGTAGCATTAATTATCGTCCAGTGCCCCAAAAAAAATTTGTCCAAAAACAGTGTCTGTCTTATAAGCACCTTTTCATCTCTTTCCACCCCACAATGCCTCTTGTTTTTGGAAAGATCCTGCCCCCTGGTGGCAGATCTTTTTTAAAAAAAAAAACAGCTACACACCTATCTTTGCCATCCACCCTCATCGTGTTGAAATTGACAATTTTGGCTCTTTCGGAATTTGATTGGTGTTCATCTTAGACAGATGGCTGTATCCAGTAGTAGTCAAACTAAGAGTATAGCCACTTAAATAAATAGTTTGGGCCCATTAAATTGCAATGGGTCTACCTTGAGTAAAGCTCCTCTGAATGCAACCCAGACGTCAGTTATAACTAAGGACACTTCCAGACTGTCAGCGTTTTGAGGGAGAGGTTTGGTTTCCTAGCAGAAATGTAGGTTTGTGCAGTTAAGGTGGATTAAAGAGCTTGGTGATAAAAGAAGAAACAGACTTCTTGCAATTAGGAAAGTGACAGGAAAATGCATTGAAAACTGTGGGAGGAACAAATGATGGGTCAGGAAACGTATAAACAAGCAAATCAGGATGAACACAAGACAAAAGCATGTTCTTGTATAACCTTCCCGCAAATGAATTAAAATGGATGTTCAGAAAGAGGCAGCAAAACCTTTAGGTTGGAGGACAGCAAAAGCCATTCTAACCTTTGGGAGGTTTAAAGGAGGCTCCTTTGAAGCCCTCAGCTTGAATATTTATGCTGCTAAAATACTCCCCCAACATTTGTATGGGACTCAGACACCAGGACGGGGATATGTTCCAGCAGATGCAACCAACCATTCAGAGTAAGTTTCTGAAGGAACTGCTGGGACTTCCCCCACAGGTACTTTATTATTAGTATTAGTATTAGTATTAGTATTAGTATTAGTATTAGTATTAGTATCTAAATTTGTATACCCCTCCCCCATACCCGCAGGTCTCTGGGCAGTTCACAGCATAAATTCACAATATAAAAACACAAAATACATAAGAAAAACAAGAGCAGCCCAATTAACCCTCCCTCCCCAACACATTTTAAAAGGGCATCAGATGTCACTCGCCCAAAAACCTCGTTAAAGAGGAAGCCTTCTGCCTGGCATCTAACGGTGTATTATGAAGGCGCCAGGCGAACTTCCCTGGGGAGAGCATTTGACAGGCAGGGAGCCACTGCAAGAAAGGCCTGTTCTCATGTTGCCGCCCTCCAGATCTCTCGTGGAGGAGGCACACGAAGAAGGGCCTCGGAAGACGACCTTAGGGTCTGGGTAGGTTCATATGGAAAGAGGCGGTCCTTGAGGTACAGTGGTACCTCAGGTTAAGAACTTAATCCATTCTGGAGGTCCGTTCTTAACCTGTGCTTAACCTGAGGTACCACTTTAGCTAATGGGGCCTCCCGCTGCTGCCACGCAATTTCTGTTCTCATCCTGAGGCAAAGTTCTTAACCCGAGGTACTATTTCTGGGTTAGCGGAGTCTGTAACCTGAAGCGCCTGTAACCCGAGGTACCACTGTAATGCAGTCTTAAGTCGCTTATGGGACCTTCTTAGTCATACTCTCCCTGGATGAGTAGACAAATTCATGGAGGATAAAGCTATCAGTGACTACCCACCATGATCTGTGTTCTCCCTCTGCCGTCGGAGGCAAATGCCTCTGAATACCAATTGCAAGCGGGAAGAGCTGCAGACATCTGGTTGGCCACTGTGAGAACAGAATGCTGGAGTAGGTGGGCCCCCCTTTGGCCTGAACCAGCAGGGCTTTTACTCTGTTCTTATTGTGCTGCTAAAACTCTTGCTCTCTTGCTCACCACCCCTCACACACCACCCACGGCCCTAGATGCCAATCACACACAAAAAGAATCCTTCGCTCCAAGCCTCTACGGTTATTCAGAGAGCCATAAAACACACAGTTGTTATTCAATCCAGACACCAGACCCCAAGATTTATTTGTGTATGTGGGGAATGTAAAGAAAAGGACACTCTGGGGTGTGTGGGGGGGGTACTCTAAGATCCTGGAGGTGCGGGTGGAGAGCAGGAAGAGAGTGAAGAAATCCGATCCGTTGAGTGTTTGCCCCCCCACACACACAAAGCTTTGAAAAGCTTCAGCGTTTGAAAACCTAGATGTTTTAGGAGTTCATGAAGAGAACCACACAGTGAAAGAACCAGGCAAGAGAGTTGAATGGGGGGGGTCAGGTTTAAAGGGATCACTTTTCCAAATCCTGTATTTGAACACAAAGCAGGGAAGGGTACCGTGTTTGGCTTTTAAAACATGTTTTAAGGTGTTGTAAAGGATTCTCTGTCTCTCTCCTTTCTCCCTCCATTTTGTGAGGAAGTTATACAATGTCCACTGTTTATGGAGTGGGGAAGTCTTAGGATGTTGGGCTGTTCATGGTGTGTGTGTGTGTGTGTGTGTGTGTGTGTGAGAGAGAGAGAGAGAGAGAGAGAGAGAGATGTTAGTGGCATAAAGGCCAATGAGGACTAAGCAGCAATAGAACAGCAACAGTGGAAACATTTGTGTTATCGGTGAGGAAAAGAGAGAAATTTGATTTAACTTTACAGTGGTACCTCGGTTTTTGAACGTAATCCATTTGGGAAGACCATTTGACTTTCAAAAACTGAGGCACAATGGGCAATCTGTAGAAAATTGAGAAAAATACAGTTGTACACTCAGTGGATGCAGTTCGACTTATGAGGCACATTTGAAAACGGAAGCATTTACTTCCGGGTTTTTGGCGTTCGGGTTCTGAAACATTCGGTGATGGAGACGTCTGAAAACCAAGGTACCACTGTACACTGAAGGCGAACCTTTCTAACTTGCACTTTCCGAAATAATGCACAAACTGAAACTCAACCGCCCTTCGAAATTTGCACTTCTCCAGGGCTTGCAATGCAAAAGCTGCTGTATTATCAAGATAGGTTGTTGGTCCCTCACTAACTTAGTACTGTCTGCACTGACTGGCAGCAGCTGTCCAGAGTTTTGGACAGGGAGTTCTTTCCAGTCTCTATCTGGAGATGCTGGGGACTGAGCTATGGCCCTTCCCTGATGAGTCCAGACAATGTGACCATGCCAGCCATGGAAGCGAGATCTGGCAGAGCTCTTAGGTTCTTTGAAAAGGTAACAGAACAAAACATCACGGGAGGCAGGTTTGCCAACAGCTACTAGTTGTGACCCTTAAATGGGAGCTGCATATTCAAAGACACAATATATATCATAGGATTAGATCCAGGCGGGATAGTGGATAAAGCCAATGAGACAGATCCTCCCCTTGCAGGTCAAGACTGAAAGGTGGGCAGGACCAGCCACCTGTCAATCACCTGACATCACAATGGTGTCAGAAGTCCCACTTTTGCTCATGTAAAAGTCCCCATGACATATGGTACACCATTTTGTGCCTGTGTGTTTCAAAATCAAATGGTGTGGGTAACCACACAGCGTTTTACATTGCCTGATGATCAGCTGGTCATGGGCACTTGCAAAAGTCCTGTGTTCTGCAAGCTGCAGCAATCAGCTGGGCTGGCGAGTGTTAGACTCCTTTTCCATGACCATGCTGGCTGGGACCGATGGAATCATAGAATCATAAAATTGTAGAGTTGGAAGGGACACCAAAGGCCATCTAGTCCAACCCCCTGCAATGAAAGAATCTCAGCTAAAGCATCCATGACAGATGCCCATCCAACCTCTGCTTAAAAACCTCCAAGGAAGGAGAGTCCACAACTTCCATAGTCAGAATCTCCTTTCTTGTCAATCGAAGCCATTGGTTTGAGTCCTACCCTCCAGAGCAGGAGAAAACAAACTTGTTCCCTCTTCCATGTGACAGCCCTTGAGATATTTGAAGATGGCTATCATATTTCCTCTCAGTCTCCTCTTTTCTGAGCTAAACATAGCCAGCTCCTTCAACCATTCCTCATCAGGCTTGGGTTCCAGACCCTTGATCAGCACATGTTGCAGAAAAGGATGGTCAAATGTTCTCCACTCCTGACTTATTGTATCTGGTAGCAGCTCTTCACACTCTGAGAGACTGAGAAAGAGAGACAAAGTGTGTGTGTGTGTGTGTGTGTGTGTGTGTGTGTGTGTGTGTGTCTTTCTTCCCATTGCTTGCTCCCCTATCCTTTTTTTTAAAAAACTGTAAAGAAATTCACCATTCACTCTCCACCAAAACCCTTCCACCATTTGCAACTGCACCATCCGCTTCAACCAAGCCGAATCCGAGATCTACAATCCTTGAAATATGAAATAAAAGCACACAGAGCATTCCACCTAGGAGAACCTGTTTCTGTTTCCCTGACGTTTTGAAAACCTGCTCAGGTTCAGCGAAAGGTCTGGATTCCAAAACCTTCCTAGGCAAACCACGCTGAGCCCATCCGGACTGTTCCAAAATAAAGCTCCAAACTGGTCGAGATGGGTTGCTCTTTAAAGCAATGTTTCGCTCCGTTCTTGAACCATTGCCATGGTTTAACATCACACGCAGGCACCAAAGAAGTTCAGAGAGTTCTTCATCCAGACTCGAACAGCGGGGGCACCTCTTGCGAGGAACTCTCCGCGAGGGATCGCAGCATTTGGGATGACAGGGTGATTAATGATGTGTGCTCAAACGCCGAAGAGGCCGGCGAGGACAGACCACCACAAGACGCAAAAGGGTCGAGGCCACAATCCTAGATGAACAGAGCGCCACTGGGCTTGAAGTGCGCTTGCTGCCAGAGGTGTTTGGAAAGCTGGCGCTGCAGCCGACCACCCTGGTGAATCAGCAGGCTGGTTAGAAATGAATAAGAGGATTTGCCCATCAACGTCTGGCTGTTTTCAATTCGCAGGAGCTTGTGAAGTAATGTCTGCCTTTTTGCAGGCTGGGGGAGAAGAGTGTTGACATCCCCTGCTGGCCTGTGAAACCAAGAGTGGGTCGCCTACTCTTAAATCCACAGGTCCCACCCGCTCTTGATTTCCAAGGTGAAACAGCGGGCAGAAATTCTTCAGGGGAAGAGGATCATTAGGTGTGCGTGCAGAAGAAGACCTTGTATTGGTGTTGACCTTTAAAGCTCTAAACGGCCTCGGTCCAGTATACCTGAAGGAGCGTCTCCACCCCCATCGTTCTGCCCAGACGCTGAGGTACAGCGCCGAGGGCCTTCTGGCGGTTCCCTCACTGCAAGAAGCAAAGTTACAGGGAACCAGGCAGAGGGCCTTCTCGGTAGTGGCACCTGCCCTGTGGAACGCCCTCCCATCAGATGTCAAAGAGATAAACAACTACCTGACATTTAGAAGACATTTGAAGGCAGCCCTGTTCAGGGAAGTTTTTAATGTGTGACATTTTGATGTATTTTTAATCTTTGCTAGAAGCCGCCCAGAGTGGCTGGGGAAACCCAGCCAGATGGGCGGGGTACAAATTATTATTATTATTATTATTATTATTATTATTATTATTTTACTATGCCATAGTCTGTGCAAGGCCATTTGATGCCCTCCCCCCAGCCCTTGTGGCACTGGCTGAAGCCAGGCTTTGGCAGGGACCTAGAGATCTCCTACCTCCTTCCCAAAGCCCGGTAATCACTTGCTCAGCTTTGAGGAGGAGGAAGGAGGACACTAGGACCCTGTCAGAGCCCTCGCACCTCCTTTCTGAAGCCAGGCAAGCGCTTGCTGGGCTTTGGGAAGGCAACCTTCTCGGCTGCGCCCCCGGTGCAACCGCACTGCTCTCACTGCCCTAAATGTGCCCCTGGTGGGTGAGTAATGGGGGAGGCAGAGGTGTGTAAAATCATGCACAGCGAGGAGACAGCAAAAAAAGGAGAAGTTGTCCTCTGTCTCTTGTAATACTGGAACTCAGGGTCACCCAACGAAGGTGAATGTTGGGGGAATGTAGGACAGGCAGAAGCAGTGGTGTAGCATGGGTTGCCAGTGCCTGGGCCGCATGGAGTGGAATGGGAGGGAAGGAGGGAAACAGTCAGAGTACGCATGCACATTCAACTGCCTAACTGTGTCCGCAGCACCCAGGAGATCACAGCCACAGAGATAAGAAAAGAAGAGTCATTCCATTGCCTGGAGAGGTCAATTCCTGGTTCACATGGAGAACCCATTTTCAACAGCAACAGAAGTGCACGGCTATATTGAGGCAGCACTGGGTGTTGAACTTTCGCAGCCCTAACAATTTTGCACCCAGTGCAACTGCTCCTGTGCCCCCACCCCGGCACGCTACGCCACTGGGCAGAAGAAGATACTTCTTCACACAGTGCTTGGTTAAACGATGGTATTCACTTCCATGAGAGCTGGTGGTGAGACACCATCTTGGATGACTTTCTCAGAGGGTTAGACAAATGGCTGCTAGACATGGTGACTAGGTTGCACCTCCATTGTCCGCTGCTGAGTATCACAGGTGAAGAGAGCACTGTTGGAATTGTGGACTTCCCAGAGGCATCTACGAAAACAGGATGCAGGACGAGATGGGCCCAGTGGGGCTCTTTGTATGTTATAGACACAGATCCAAACTATGGAGACATCCAGTTCAGCGTCATCTGCACAGGCAGGGTCTCTCGGGCAAAAATCTTTCCCTGCTCTCTGTCCTCTTTTACCGGTGATGCAAGGGACTGAACTTCTGCATGCGAAGGGTGTGCTCCGGCACATCCAAGACAAATACTGGGGAAATCCAAGCCGCATACCAGACTAACAGCTTGCTTGTATAACCCCAGTGCAGAGGGCGTCCCCTCAAAAGCTGTTATCACAAGGGTTAGTTGATGGGTGGTTTGTGGGCCATAAACTACCATGCGGTTCTTGCCAATGGAGGTTATGCACACAGTTTCTCACAGTGACAAATCACAGAATGCAGATATTCTAGTGCCTCAGAATAGTGCCTCAGCGGTTGCGCTTCTCCTGCTCTGCACTCTGCCTCCTCCTTCATCTTTGACCTCTCTCCTTTCATCACATCTCTTGATGCCATTAGCTGATCTGAAGTCACACTGGGGCTGACCAAGCAGAAAGCGTCCGATGGCTTATCTTCCCCTACTACTGGCTTGGCTGCTCTGATGTCAGGGGGGGGGGACATACCTCCATTTGCCCTGCCTCTTTCCCCCGGGGAAACCCAATCTTTAGCGCTGAATTGGAACAAATGGCAATGGGGTTTTCTGTGGGCTGCTGTACTAATTTAGCACTAAAGAGGGAGTTTTCCAGGGGAAAGTGGTGAGGCAAAGGCAAACCCACTCAGACTTCATGCCTAGAAAGTGTTGGACAAGCAGAAAACTGCTTTCTAGGCACAGCACAAGTGGAAGTGTGAACAAGCCCAGAGAGAGGAGGGCAGACTCCTTCCAACAATCTATTCATTGAGTTTATATTCATCCACAAAGCTTATGTGGAGTTTAGATTATGTCCAGTCATTATTTTTTGTAATTGTTTTTGTTTTTTCCCTTTGTAATGTGCAAGAAGCAATAATGGCAACAATAAAGAGAAAGAGAAAAGATCAAAGCAGGAAAAGAAATGAAGGCTGTGAGGAGAGGGGAGTGGTAGTATTCCAAAAACAGCATTATAATTCCAGACAATTGCCCTTGATAATAAGTGTGTTATCCAAGAATGTTTCCATAGGAATCTATGAGAAGAGGGCAGCTGCCAATAATACTATGTCCACTCCTTACTGAGCACTCCTGTTTTTCTTCTTTTCTTTTTTTTTGCAGGGGAATGGACAACCATGAACACTTCCCCTGAATTACAGGTGCTTAGACATCTCCCCATAGGACGCGGGTGGCGCTGTGGGTTAAACCACAGAGCCTAGGACTTGCCGATCAGAAGGTCAGCGGTTTGAATCCACGTGACGGTGTGAGCTCCCATTGCTCGGTCCCTGCTCCTGCCAACCTAGCAGTTCAAAAGCACGTCAAAGTGCAAGTAGATAAATAGGTACCGCTCCGGCAGGAAGGTAAACGGCGTTTCCGTGCGCTGCTCTGGTTCGCCAGAAGCGGCTTAGTCATGCTGGCCACATGACCCGGAAACTGTACGCCGGCTCCCTCGGCCAGTAAAGCGAGATGAGCACCGCAACCCCAGAGTGAGTTACGACTGGACCTAATGATCAGGGGTCCCTTTTCCCTTTACCTTTACCTATATTCCTATCAGGTTGTGGGGGGGGGGTTAATAGTGCTTCATCAAGGGGGGGGGGTGTCATCCATGCACACATATGCACTGGCAATGTACCAGGCCGTGAGATTGGGATGCTGCATATAAATGGAACTGAAACCTGAAGCACTGATTCTGCAATTCATTTGATGAAGACTCCTAAGTAAAAGCAGATCTCAGGAGAAGAGAAGCATGAGGCAGAAGAAGGCAGAAGACAAAGAATTGGGATGAGGAAAATCTTCCCATTCTTTACTTTCAAGATAGACAATTATTGGGTTATTCTCCTTTATCTTCTGGATGGGTTTGTTAGTTTGACAGACGATAAGGGTCTTCTAGACACTGGAGGAGCCACTGTTTGGTTTGGTTTGAATTTACATATATTTATTTATTCACTTATGTATTTCAAAATGGCCCTGTTGACCTTGGAACATGCAGTAGAATTACATAAGCTTAAGAACATATGAAGTGGCATTATCCTGTATCAGACTCCTCAGTCCATCTAGCTCAGTAATGTCTATACTGACTAGCAGCATCTCTCCAGGGTTTCAGGTGGAGTGTCTTCCCCAGCCCTCCCTGGAGATGCTGGGATTGAACCCGGGACCTTCTGCATGCAAAGCAGAGACTGTGCCACTGAAGGAATCCACTCTACGCCTAAGCTATGGTTCCTGCCATTTGCCCCCCTCCCACCAGACTTCAGTGATTGTTATTTTTACATTTCTATATGAGATTTTCCTCCAAGGAGTGCCCATGGTTCTCTTCCTCCCCATTTTATTTTCACAACAACATGGACTACATGGAATTGGCGGAAATGACTGGCAGAATCCGAGACCAGGGTGAAGAGTCGGTGGAAGAAGATTGGAAGAAATTTAAAGACTACTTACAGAAATATTGTAAAATTAATGAATGTTAGAATGATGTCAGAATGAAGTTAAGTGGTTTTAGCAGCAATGTCATAAAGGTCTATGTAAAAATGGATGGTTAATAGGTGAGAATCTAAAGCTATAATATATTAAGTTAAAGGACTAAGACAAAAACAAAGAGGGAAAGGAATTGCTGAATTAACCAATTGAACTGGAATACAAAAAAGGGAGGTGAGAGGAGGTCAGGGAAGCAAGGAAATGAAATGTAAGATACGGAAGGATTAATTTGTTTTTAAGTGTTTTTTCTAAAAAAAAATCTATACTTTGTATTTTGTATGTTTTTTCTCTTTTTTTTCTATATTTTCCCTTGTCTCTTTTATTTTTAACTATGTAATTTTTTTGTTTCTGAAATTTTAATAAATATCATTTTAAAAAAAAAAAAATTTCACAACAACCCTGTGAGGCAGGTTAGGCCGAGAGACAGCAATTGGCCCACCTCCTTCCAGTGAGCTTCGTGCCTGAATGCGGATTTGAACACAGGTCCGAGTACAGCACTCTAACCATTACACCACAGCAACCCCGAGACCCGTGAAGTTGCATTGGAATCCTTTTCCAGGGCAAGGGGAACATGGTTGGACTGGTTAGGGCTTTAAACCCTGATCTCTCAGGCCCTAGACTGACACTCTAACCCAGGCATCCCCAAACTCGGCCCTCCAGCTATTTTGGGACTACAACTCCCACCATCCCTAGGTAACCGGACCAGTGGTCAGGGATGATGGGAATTGTACAGTGATGCCTCAGGTTAAGAACTCAATTCGTTCTGGAGGTCCGTTCTTAACCTGAAACTGTTCTTAACCTGAGGTACCACTTTAGCTAATGGGGCCCCCCGCTGCCGCTGTGCCCCCGCCGTACGATTTCTGTTCTCTCTCTCTCTCTATCTCTCTCTATATATATTATTCATTTTTAAACATATTGTCATACATACCACAAAATTTCATATCTTATACAA